CTACACGGGACAAAGAGGGGAAATCTCCTGTATAATTTAATGCCTCTGAAAATCAGCTGCAGGATCAGCTAGGAGTAGGTTTTGACTTGACGGCACTTAATGATGTAAGATTATCAACCCTTTCATCTAGCAACATAACATGTAACCCATTATAGAACCAAGGCTTTCTGTAACTCAGACATAGACACGTGAAAAATATGGTAAATAAACTTTAAATTGACTATGAAAAAAAAAAAAAAAAAGAGATCTCTCTCTGGTGGCCTAGTGGATAAGGAGCTGCTTTGTCAACCCAAAGACAAACTGTTTGAAACCTCCAGCTGCTCCACAGGAGAAAGATGGGCAATCTCCTCCCTTATTGCAGTTTATACCCTCTAAAAATGAACTGGAAGGTCAGCTATGAGTCAGTTCTGACTTAATGGCACATAACAACAGGAATTCAAATGGCAGGACTAGTGAAGTAGCCTATAGGGACTTGCACTGTTAACCCAAAGGCTATCCTCAGGCAGTTCAAATCCACTAGCTGTCTTTAGGGGGAAAGACAAGCAATCTCCTCCTGTGCAATTTACAGCCTTGGGAACCCCCTGGAATGAGAGCTATGAGTCAAAACTGCCTCGTTACCAATTAAAGAGAGAGAGAGAAATAAAAAAAAAACACAATTGACAGAAGACAATTTGAAATGTTTCCGCAAATTGATGCTGCATTGGAGGTGCTCACTAGTCTATGCCAAGAAATTTGGAAATCCTCTTACTTCACTGCAGTGCAATGAGTTACTGATGTGGTTTTTCACTGTGGTCTTCCTAATTCTCACTATATGACTTGATGAACCAAACCTAATGCAGCCAATGATTCTGACTCACAGCATCCCTCTTTTGGGTTTTTGGGACTGTAGATCTTTATGGGAGAAGGCTGTCCATCTTTCCTCTATGGAGTGGCTGGTGGATTTAAATGCCTAAACTTTCAGTTAGCAATCTAACATGTTATACACTGTATCACCAGGACTCTTTCATGGCTGGATAAAAAAACTATTCAAATTCATTGTCCTCAAGTCAGAGTCAACACATAGCTGACCATCCAGTGGGTTTTGAGGGGCTGTAAAGTCAAAGGAGAAGACTGTCCATAGTCTCCCCTGGAGCTGTGGGTGGATTTGAACTGCCAGACAAGCACCACCTCAGGGTTAGCAGAGCAATTTCCTATGGACTACATCTCATAAACTCCATAACTGAGGGTTCTGTCTGTGAGCCGTGTGTGCTCTTTGCAACAAATTATCAAACCCAGAAGAAAAGCAGTATCATGGGATGGACGGCTGGCCCTAGAATTGGCAGAAAAGGTTTATAGTGTGGAGTACAGGGGCATGCCTGACGTCATGGGAACTGGTTTTGTGCGGCTGTTGATGGGGATTCCTCTCCCTTATAAAGTTAATGGAAGTTCATGCACATGCTGCTTTTCTTTCCACAAATGCAAGAAATGTATATTTGTATCACTCCAAGAAAAGTGATTGAGGAAATTATCAAACACTATCATTAATATCACACTCACGTAAACAAGTTTAATAGTACTTTGAAAGTAAAAAGCCAGAAATTCCAGCTGGATACACACAGAAGAAGATATGAAATGGGGGACAGACTATAAATGTCAGAGAGGTCTTGTCTAAAATTACTGATATGCAAAAGCAGTGGATTATGTAGATAATAACAAATTAGGGACAATATTGTGGAAAATGGAAATTCCAGGCCACTTAATTATGCAAATGCAGAACTGACCAGAGAGATCCAGAAATAGTTGTTAGAAGAGAACAAGGATATACGTATGGCAAGGTTTAAAATCCTGCAAGGTATGTGTCAGGGTTATATCCTTTCAACATACATATTCAATTTGTATGTTGAGCAAATAATCTGAGAAACTAGATTATATAAAAAAGAACTCCACACTAGAATAGGAAGACTCATCAACAACGTACAATATACAAATGATATTAACATTCTTTGAAGAAAACAAAGACTTAAAGCATGTACTGTTGAAGATAAATATTCAATCTGTAACCTGCGCAAATCATTCAAGAAGATGGACTATATGAAGAAGAATGTGACATCAGAATTGGAAGAAGACTCATCAACAACCTGCATTATGCAAACAAACATTGCTTACTGAAAGTGAAGAGGGTTTGAAACACTTAAATGTAGAAGATCAAATACTATAGTCTTCAAAATGGATTACATCTCAATATCAAGGGGGGAAAATTCTCATCACTGGACCAATAAACAACATCATGATATAGAAGAGACTGAAATTGTCAATTTCCTTTCACTTGTGTCCAGAATCAACCTCCATAGTACAAGCAGTCAAGAAATCAAAAGACTTTTTTCTCTCTGGGCACCACCATAGCAGTCAGCAAGAACAAGCGCCTTACTAACAGTGGCAAAAAAAGGAGCCAAGAAGAAAGTGGCTGATCCATTTTCTAAGAAAGATTGTTATGATATAAAGGTACTAGCTATGTTTAATGTAAGAAATATTGAGAAGACAAAAGAAATATTGGGACTCAAGGAACCAAAGTTGCATCTGATGGGCTCAAGGGTGGTGTTTTTTTAAGTGAGCCTTGCTGATTTACAAAACAATGAGGTTGCATTTAGAAAATACAAGCTAATTATTGAGGATGTTCAAGGCAAAAAGTGCCTCACCAACTTCCAAGGCATGGATCTTACTCGTGACAAAATGTGCTCCACAGTTAAAAAATGGCAATCCATGATTGAAGTTCATGTTGATGTCAAGACTACTGATAGTTATTTGCTTCATCTGTTTTGTGTTGGTTTTACAAAAAAAAACCCCAAAACCTGCAACAGTCAGCACCCACAGGTTTGCCAAGTCTGGAAGAAAATTATGAAAATTATAACCCGAGAGGTGCAGGCAAATGACTTGAAAGAGGTGGTCAATAAATTGATTCCAAACAGCACTTAGAAAAACATAGAAAAGGCTTGTCAATCTATTTATCCTCTCCATGCTTTATTTGTTAGAAAAGTAAAAATGCTGAAGAAGCCCAAGTTTGAATTGGGCAAACTCATGGAGCTTCACAGTGAAGGTGGTAGCTCTGGAAAAGCTACTGGAGATGAGACAGATGCTAAAGTTGAACAAGCTGATTGCTATGAACCACCAGTTCAAGAAACTTTTTAAAATTCAGACTTTTTATAAGGACAAATAAAAATTATTTGTGAAAAAAAAAAAGAAATCAAAAGACATGTTGCATTGGGGAAATCTGATTAATTCTTTGAAGTGCTGAAGCTCAGTGGTGTCCATTTAAAGACTAAGGTGTGCCTAATCTAAGTGATGTTACTTTCAATTGCTTCCTATACATCTCAAAGTTGGATAATCAATCTGGAGAACAACAGAAGAATTAATACATTTGAGATTTGGTGTTGGAGAAGAGTAAAAATATCTGTGAACTGCTACAAGAACAAACAAGTCTTTCTTGGAGTGCAACCAGGGTGCTCCTTAGAATCAAGGATGCTGAAATTCCATCTCACATACACTGGGCATGTTGTGAGAAAGGACCAGTTCTTAGAAAAAGACTTCAAGGTGGAAAAGGTGGAGGATTAGAAAAAGAGAGGGAAATTTCCAACAAAATGGATTAACAGTGTGGTGTTAACCTAAAAGTTGGCTTTTTTAGCCATTAGTTAGCTGCCTTTCATCTAGAGCTACCTTAACTGCAGACACATGGTATTACAAATCAGCAGCAGCTGTGGGACTGCCATAAGAGAAAGAGTGCTTTCCACACTGGGAAGCAAGACTTGTGGAAAGCAAGGTTTGTGATGACAAGACTCTAGTGAGAGCAAGACACTGTTGTGGACAAACGGTAGCAAAGTGTGACTTGAGACTTCCTGCATTTGTGCTGGTCCGAGTTAAAGGCTTGGCTGTTTTTGCTGGTTATTTGAAGGAGAAACTGACTTATAACTGCTCTGAGACAAACTTTGCTGGATGATTTGGTTATAACTGCTCTGAGGCAATCCTTGCTGGGTGATTTGAATTTCACTGCTGAACTGAAACTGGAGCTTGAATTTATTGAGGATTTATGCCTTGGAACTCTTTGGGCTAAAGACTGGACGTATTTTGAGTGATATTCTTTGTCTCTCAAGCTCTCCAACTTCCTAATAGACCCTATTGTTGGCACCATAACTGTGAGTCAGCAATGAATAAAAGAACCTCTTGCTGTTGGTGGGGCTCTACAGGCTGGGCTGCGGTCTCTTTATCTGCTTTCTGTTCTGAGGTGGTGAGGGGCTGTGCTATTCTCATTCCCTCTGGCCCTTTCAGAAATATGCTCATGGCCCTGTGCTTCCATGGCCTGTCTTTCCCACTTCAGACACATACTGACTGTAACATGGGCTTGAGCATATCAGAAAAGATAAAGATGGTGCATGAAGGGCAAGGTTCAGATCTGCTATTAATAGGGTTGCTAGTCATTGTAGTTGACTCAATAGCACCTAACAACAACAACAACAACATTAAGGATCAAAGACTACAACCTTAAGTATGGAATATACTGTAATATATAGAAAATAAAAATTCTCACAATGGAACCAACAAACAACATCATGGTAAATGGAAAAATTACTTAAGTTGTCAGTGTTTACAGTTTACTTAGATCCACAATCAGTATCCATGGAGGGAGCAGTCAAGAAGTCAAATCACAAATTATACTGGGAAATTTTAAACTGCACTTATTCATAGAAGGATAGGCATGGTAATTTTTTACAATTCCACTATTTATTTCTGACAATTATAAAATTCCTTTTTCCAGGAAGATATCTAAGCATTCTGCTATGTTCTCCCTCAAATTAGCCTTGTATGACAATACCTTATTTACCTTTGCATTTTCAGTGTTGAGCACAAAGCAGACCTCTCAGGAAATATTTGTTTAATGAAGAAACAAAACCAGGGAGCAAGGGTTCATGCAGAAGGGACCCTGGTGCTCTATGGATAAAAGGAAGGACTCTTAGTTTGCAGGGACCTACCTTGTTCAGGGCCACATGCATCTGATCCACCAAGAATACATAGAGTTCACTGATAAACGTCTGCAGTTCCTCCTGGCTTTCAAATGGTGATGTCTTCAAGTACTTCTCTCTCACAATCTTTACCACAGCATGCTGTAAGACACAGATTGCCCCATACTGACAATATATTACAACTTGAACTTGGGCAGAAGTCCAAGACTTATTGAAAACTCATAAGGTACCTGATTTCTCCCCCGGTGAACATTAATCTGTGGGAATTCTGATTTTTCTCTCATTAAGCACATTCTTTCTGACTTATTTCCTCTACTTTACTAGTAGGGATAATGTGGAAAAACTAATAAAGGCCTGTGCTTCCATGTGTGTGAAGAGTCATACATACAAAGAAGCCTTGGCATGAATGCTATGCATTTTCTCTCAGTGTCCACATGGTTATTAAATCATGAAACAAAGGTTTGGTCTGAGAGTCCAGAGAACAGAAGGATTCCAGTTTTAATGCTATTACCATACAACCTTAGAAATTTCTACTTTACCCAACTCCTTCATTTGGTAAATGGATATGTAGGTTCTGCAGGAAAATGAGAAGCTAATTTTTTCCCCCTAAGCAAACATGATTTCTGGATTTTGGACCAAGCACTTTCCAATATTTTTGTTTGTTTTATTTAAATTTATTATTAATTTCAGTAAAAATTTACAGATAATTTGGATTTCCATTCATTCATTGTTGGACTTTTCTCCTCTCCCAACCCTCCCCCCTAGTACACTACCCTCTTGGAAAAGTAAAAGAATAATTCTGTCATTGTTTTACAAACCCTCCCCCAGGTCCACTCCACCATGTAGCCTTCACTCTAGACTGCTGTCATGACAAAAATACCTAATCACATATCCCTTTTAAACAGTTCTCTCCTCATTTGTTTCAATGCAGTATACATTATTGAACCCATCTTTCTCAGTCTCTCCCCAACCCTAAGGTCAGTCCTGTTTTACAACAGTGGCACCATGCAGTATTTGTACTTTTATGACTGAGATACTTCACTCAGCATAATGTCCTCCAGAGTCATCCATTTTGAATAATATTGCATGAGTTCCTTGTTTTTCAATGCAGCATAGTATTCCATTGTGTGAATATACCACAGCTTCTCTATCCATTCGTTTGTTAATGGGCACTTAGGTTGTTTCCAGCTCCTTGCTATTGTGAACAAAGCCACAATAAACATGGGTGTGCAGTACTTTCCAACTTTTATATAATTTAATTCTCATAATGACTCCATGTGATATTATCATTTTTATTTGAGGCTCAGAGAGATCATGTCACTTGCCCAACCTCATGCAGCTGTTGAAGGCAGGACTAGGAAACAACCTGAGACCTATTTAGACCAGCCTCTGAGAATAGCCTCTGGCTTCCATAAGCATCAGTTTTTCTAACTTTATTATTTCCATGTGCTATTTTTGTATCCATTTATTACATGGAATATAGTAAAGAAAGACAGAGGTAATATAGTGCTTAAGAACATGATCTCTGAGGGATCTCTGGTGGCCTAGTGGCAAGAAGCTGCACTGCAATCCCAGGGGTATACAGTTCAAATCCACCAGATACTCTACTGGTGAAGGAGGGGCAAACTCCTCCTGTACCAGTCAGATTCTACTTGATGGTACACACATGCAAAATAATAAAATTAAATTTAAACAAGAACATGATCTCTGGAATTGAGCATTGTTTTTGACTTTTACTAGTTCTGTTACCTTGGGCAAGTTTTTTAGCCTCCCTGTACCTCATTTTCCCATCTGTAAAATGGAGAGCAGCTCTCTCATAAGATTTGAGGATGGCTCATAAGATTTGAAGATGGTATCTTCTCATCTTTTCAATCTGTATGCAGAACAGATTATCTGGGAGGCTGAGCTTTATTAGGAGAAGAGTGGCATCAGGATTGGAGATAGACTCATCAACAATCTTGCTGAAATTGAGGAGGACCTAAAGCACTTGCTGCAGAAGGTCAAGGACTGCAACCTTCAATATGGACAGAGGCTCAATGTCCAGAAGACAAAGATTCTCACCACTGGGCCAATTGGCAGCATCATGATAAATGATGAAGAAATTGAGATTGGTGACAACTTCAGTTTTCTTAGTTCCACAATAAACACTCTTGGTACCATCAGGCAGGAGATTAAAAGATGAATTGCATTGGGAAAGTCTGCTGTCAGAGCACTGAAGGGCAATGATGTCAGTCTGGAGACTATGGTGCACCATGGTCTTTGCAATTACTTGTTATGCATCAAGAGCTGGACAATGTCAAGGGCTGACAGAAGGAGAGTTGATGCCTTTGAGCTTTGGTGTTGGAAAAGAGTATTGAATATATCATGGACTTCTAGGAGAACAAACAAGTTTGTCTTGGAGAGGGTGAAGCCAGGAGGCAAGGATTCTGAAGCTCCGTATAACCAAGTTTAGACATGCTGCAAGGTGGGGTCAGTCCTTGGAGAAAGAAGTCATGCTTGGGAGGGTGGAGGGACAACATAGGAGAGAAAGACTCTCAATGACATGGATTGATTCAGTAACTGGGGTAATGGGGATAGTCATGTTGGAGACAGTAAGATTGGCAAGCGATAGAGCAGGGTTTAGGGTTGTTGTACATAGGGTTGCTATGAGTTGCAGGCGACTTGACAGAACGTAAAAACAACAACAACAAATTACTAAACCAAGAAGATATAGAAAGTGTTTGGCTCAATAAATATTTGTTGTTGATGGTTCTTAGTTGCTATCATATCAATTCCTATTCACAATGACCTCATGAACAACAGAACAAAAATGTTGCACAGTCACAGGCCATCTTCATGATTATTGGTGAACTGTGGTCCACTGTTACAACTACCACAAATTATGAATGCCTAACAATCTAGGAGTGCATTTTTCAGCATTACTCTCTATATCAGCAATGCCAGAGTCCAAAGGATTTTCATTAGCTGGCAGCATCATGATAAGACAGCAAAGAGACTGAGCCACTGATAACAGCTTTAGTGTGCTTGGCTCCACAAAGAAGACTTTAAAAAAAATACTAGTTTTACAACATTTGAATACATTGATTTCAAGAACAGATTCTTCCAATTTCCCTCACCTTTCCCAATCCTCCCTCCAACTGCACATCCTCATTTCCCTGCTTCCACCCTCTCCCAGCCCCCGTGGATACTTATACTCATTCTACAATAATGGTTTTATACAATATTTGTCCTTGTGGACTGAGTGAATTTATGCAGCATAATGCTCTCCAGTCTGTAATAATTTACAGAATCATTGCTCCTGCATGCTGCGTAGTAGTCCATCATGTGACTGTACCATAATTTCTCAATCCATTCATTTGTGGTTGGAGATTTGAGCTATTTCCACGTTCTTGCAATGGTGAATAATGCTGTTATGAACACTATGAACACTGGTCTACAAATCTCCATTTGTGCCTCAATTCTCATTTTCTCAGAATGTATTCCAAGTAGTGGAAGAGCTGAGTCACATGGAATTTCTATATTCAGCTTTTTGAGGAAGCGCCAAATTGCCTTCCAGAATGGTTGCATCATTTTATAATCCCACCAACAATATATAAAAGTTCTTTTCTCACCACATCCTCTCCAATATTTATTACTTACTGCTCTGTTAAACTTTGCCACTATTTACAGGAGTGAGATTATACCTTATTGTGGTTCTGATTTGCATCTCTCTTATTGCCAGTGATTTTGAGGATTTTTTCATGTGTTTGTTTGCCATGTGAAGATCTTCTGCTGAACAAACAACACTCTTGGTACCAGTAGCCAAGAAATTAGAAGATGAATTTCATTGAGAAACTCTGCTGAGGGACCTCTCCAGAGTACTGAGGAGAAATTATGTCAGTCTAAAGCCTAAGGTGTGCCTGACCCAGGCCATGGTCTTCACAATTAATTGCTATGCATCAGAAAGCTGGACAATGACTAGGGATGATAGAAGGAGAATTGATGGCGGTGTTGGAGAAGAGTATTGAATATATCATGGACTGCTAAAACAGTTTCGTCCTGGACAGGGTGAAACCAGGCTGCTCCTTGCAGGCAAGGATTCTGAAGCTCTATCTGACATACTGTGTTGTAAGGAAGGACCAGTCCTTGGAAAGGGACATCATGCTTGGGAAGGTGGAGGTACAGTGCACTAGAGGAAGGCCCTAAAGGAGATGAACTGACTCAGTGACTGAGGTAATGGTGAGTAGATGTGTCAGAGACATAAGGTTGGCTCAGAATAGAGCTGGGTTCAGAGTTAATGTACATATTATGTATACATTATTACGGTCATTATGAGTTACAAACAACTCGATGGCACATAACAACAGTATTTGGAAGTATATGGTTGGTCTTTCTTCCTAGTCTATAAATTTCCCTGAAACTTGACCACCATGATGACTCTGATATTTCAAATTCTAGTGGAATGGCTTCCCGCATTATCACAACATGTGAGTAATCCCAGTATGACCAACTGACAGATGGTGGCAATATATGTGAGTCATTATTACTCAATAAAATGGTTGTTGTTATGTTGTTGTTATGTGCCATCGAGTCGTTTCCGACTCATAGCGACCCTATGCACAACAGCTCTAAACCCTGCCCTATCCTGCGCCAACCGCACCGCCTCCGACACACCCATCCCGATTACCCCAGTCACCGAACCAATCCATCTCATAGAGGGTCTTCCTCTCCTGCGCTGTCCC